GATGTAACGGTGTTTCGACATACACTTGAGGATTAGCTTCGCTCCAAATGCGGCAGTTTTGTTTATTGACGTAGCCATTCAACCAGAAGTGCGCTTCATCGCTAAGCGACGAATCTACGCCTTACTTGATGATCGTTTGCCTTCAATTCTTGCACGAGTTGGATTGTGTAAGCACGTAAACCAAGATCCTTCCGCAAAATCTTCCATAAAGTGGATGGACACAGATCCAATTCCTGTGCTCGATGGCGGATGGATTCATTCGGGTCTTCCTCAATGCTACGCTCTACAGCAGCAATAGCTTCTTCTGTACGCACCGTCCGGCGTCTCTGGGGATGCGAGTTATCAATAAGAGTAAATGTGGAGCGAAAACGTTCCATGGTTAATCGAATTAACTGCTCTGATTTTGTCGACGATAAAATGGACGTAGTGCGCGATACGTATTCCGCACAGAACCATTATTTTCGAAATAAAATTGCACTATTTGCAAGCGTTGCTCAGGGGTGAGTCTGTTCTTGATGAATTGCCAAACCAAACTGAGAATAAATCACTTGACAGCTGTTAAATCGGTCGCCATCTTGAACAGTAATGCCAACTTAAAGTTCTATACATCCAAAAAAACACCCAGTATAAGCAGGTACAGAGTAAAATACGAGGCAGTTTCAGTCAAGCTCTGAAGAAGCCAACAGGATTGGCGAAACGTCAGCAATTTCGACTCAGCAAAAACCGACGCAGGAGGAATCCAAAAGTTTTGTAAAAAGTAGTTTTTTTTTCTTTGTCTAGTATAGTTCAACTTTAACTTTAACTTAGACTTGTTTTACTTGTTCTTTCCACTCATTATTTTACTACCTTACTCTATTATACTGCAACCGCAAAACTACTGATTTGACATTAGCAATTCAAAAGTTTATATGAATGTGCCTCAACTTTGCTGTTAAAAGTGCTTAATTTTTTTAATATAATTTGTTTAAATGTTTAATAAACGAGTGACTTAAAAAGTTTACCGAACGTGTTGCATACCATACTTTTTCTACAACCGTTAGTTTTTGGGCACATTTTTGCAAATCAACACGAATACATTCGCAGGACCGTCACAATTGACAAACGTTAAAATTCAAGACGTGCGATAAAACCTCCGAAAACATCCGATTGCTCCCGGAAATGTCTGAAGTGTCTCGGATCCGTGGGACCAGAAACTAACGTGGTAAAGTGACGCTTTTCGCACGCTAGATTGGTGTATAATTAGATATTTTACAAAGGGAGTAGGAAAATATGATAATCGTTGATTCGTTTTATTATTTGTATGGCATGACACTGTATATTTGTAGTATTATCGTAATCTTGATCTATTGATTTAGTTTTTTAATTATAAATAATTTTAAAAGAAAATTTTAAAATTTTCCTTTTTTGAGTGAATAAAAATGTTTCACCTGATCAAATTTCTAAAAATTGTAGCTTTATTCTTCGAAATATTTTTACACAACAATATGGTTTTGAAAAACTGAAAACAAGCCGAATAAGAATAAGTAAAAATACACCAGGAGTCCCATATAAAAAATTAAGTAGGGTCTCATAACTTCTTGACACCACACCCAAAAATTCCAAAAATTGCATTGAATTCGAGAAACAAAGTTTCCATTAATTTAAAGAAAACGGTTACACGAAACTGTCTCAGAACTGATAATGTTCAGTTTCTTCCTGTATCTCAAAAATAAAGCGACGAAGGAAATCTTTTTTTAGGGCACGACAAGTTTCTGCACCGCGCCATTATTGCAATTAAACAACGAGAACACCCCATGGCATTGCCCCAATCATATCAATGAGCAGGAGAAAGATATGAATCCCCATCCCTAACATATGCCTCACTTTTCTATCACGCAGCGTCCATTCCAGGATTGTCAAATCGGCGCAGAACAAAAAAAGCATAACCACGAGCAGCTTAAAGTAACGGTCGGATAGGGAAAGAAACAAAATCGACACGTACCCTACATATTTCGCTCGGCAATTGACAAAAACCGCCTCTTCTTCACAGGCGATAAAACACGGAAATTGGCGCACGTAAGCCGGTCGGCGTTAAACATTAATGAAATCAAAGAAGTTAAGGTTAAACAAAGCGTAACGTTTTTTGACCGTTAACAGTACATACGACGGGCCAGAAGCGGGACGGCAAAAAGCTCGAAACGTTACTTACGCTATTTGCGGTCGGGGACTTTACACGATCCGATGACGTCGCTACGGACACGGACTACGGAAGGTATTAACAAGCCGACTATTAATAACTTTCATCCATAACGAATAATCCGTCACATTTTACCGTAAAATTGTTAGAAATTCAATGCGCGGCGGCGAGAGGATCCTGTTTGCGCGACTGCAGCGACCCCTTTTCCCAGACACGTTACAAATGTAGCGTAACTGTATTTTAAAATTTTGACGTGGATTAAGTGCAAACTCGAGCTTCCTGCTGGTCGCTCCATTTTCGTTCGCGACGCACTGCAAAATACAAAACACGGGGAGCGAAGTAGAATAGTAATAGTGACATTGAGATTCCACATCTTTGTTCGGCAAATGTCATTCCATTTTTTCATTTTCACCAGTTTCATTTATCACCAATAATTTACCCACAAAAACGGATTTTTTTATGATAATTTAGATTTTTTGCCCATGTTCGAAGTAGAGGTTATAGACCTGGATTTTCCACGCGTCCTGGTTAAAAAAATTTTTGAAAATAGTAAATGGTTTTCGAGAAAATAAGTTTTTTCTGAAACCATGCAGTGCGCCGTAATAATCAATGATGTCGTCGCGTCTTGACAGCCCCCGAAATAACGATTTCAATATGGATTTTTTCAAATATCCCGAGCAGCGTATGTGATAGACGAAAACCGCAAATACAATAATTGTAGCTCTTGATGCGGCCTATGACACTGTTTGGACCAATTAGCCATATTTTTTACGATTTGCGGCTAGTAATTCACGGGGCAAATCTGCATATATGTGCCAAATATGAAGTCGATTGCTTCAAATTTCGGACAATTATCATTCATTCATCTTATAAGCTTATGTGCCTCGTGGAGGGTTAAAACACAGGCAAAATTTAATTTTGTAGCTCCAACGGTTCGAAAGTTATTCTGGAAAAACCAAAACGGAGATCGGAGAACGGAGAACAAACAGATAAAAAAAAAAATTTTGATGATCATTTCTGTTCCAACGGCGATCCCATAGGACCGTTACCGAGATATAAAATTTTTATACGAGCGTAGATACTTTCGAAAAATTCGATTTCATCGATTTTCGAAAATAACAAGAAGAAGAATCTTACATCATACATCATACAACCGAAAAATTTAGTTTTTTTACTGCTCTTGGCCAAGATTGCCAGGATCATTCGGCCATTTTCTCGATGAATAGTAACTTACTTCCAAAAACCTAAGATGATGCCTTAATCGAAAGACATTGGAAGGGACCATCATTCTCCAGGGTGGGGGGGGACTACATAATAGAAACATCATGCAAAGCCAAAACTTATAAGCTTAAATTACACAAATTCCAATGGAGAAGTTGGAAAAAGAATGGAGGTTAAGCTCAACAAATGATATTTGTTCTCTTTACATGTTTCATTTTTGTTTTAACCCTACAGTATGCTCAAGTTTTTAAACAGCGTATACTTTTTCCTACCACGTTGTATGTTGCAAGGTTTTATTGTCTAAACAGTACTAGATGTAGGTTTTAGAAGTGAGTAGATAAGCGTATTTTGCATGCCAGTCTGTCCTCAAATCATACTTTTACATCCATTTGGCACTCGGGATTAATTTTGGGCAATTAAACATGGAATCGACAGAGCGCGTCTCTAACGAAAACGACTGACGAAAATCGAGATCGTTATCGGTCGTAAAATACGATTTTTACGGTACGCTTTTTTTTACGGTCCCGAGAAATACTTTTTACGGCGTTATTCTCCGACGACGTTAATTAGATTAATTAATTAAATTTATCGCAGCAATTTGAGGAACTCGGTTCTGAAAAACGCGATGATATGTGGACTAAGCGCCGCGCGACCGAGCGCTGTTTATGTTCAGGACTGTTGAATTATTATTAAATTTAGTCGGCGTTAATTGTTATACGTTCCGGTTTACTTGCATTCATTAATTGAGACGGTTATAATACGGGCTTCTCGATGTTTTGAGACTATTTCGTGGTGAATAATACGTCCCTTTTGCCGACGAGCGACACTTGTTTTCAGACGACGATCCACAGACACTACCGGTCCGCCCTCTCTGACTGACAAAAAAAATTAACGATTGAACAATACCAGAGAATATAAACAATATAAATAGACAAATGTCTCCGTTAGTGCGTTTAAAAAATTATACACTCGTTTAATGTTCAAGCTCAACTAATTCTTAATTCTATTAAAAAAAAAGTGAAAAATAACAAAAAATAAATAAAATTGCAAGCTTTGATTTTTTGAACGGCACTTCTGTAAATACCAATTTGTACAATTAATTTTGCAACTCTGTAACCCGAAAAATAAGAATTTTCTTATTCTATGTTCCTAGAAACTCAGAGAACCATTTAATAACAGGTAGACAATTTGCCGGAATTAGACATACCGGTATACAGGACTGCCATGTCATATGATAATAGCCCGCATATATATAGTCGAATATCTGTCATATGATAATAGCCCGCATATATATAGTCGAATATCACGGCCTAATGCCTAATATAGTGACAAGACTAAACAGACAAAATATTATATTGTAAGAGAATCACTGCAAATATTAAGTACATTTTTAAAATATTTATTGATTTTTTAATTAATAATCCACGGCCGCTGCAGAATCAAACATAATTTGCCTGGCTTTCAAGCGATAGTCAATAGGCGACATCTAGCGGGCTGAACACAAACCGATTAATGGCACTCGCTTTAAGTCAGTTAAAGAAACCTGCGTGTTGGGTCATATAGGGAGTACAAAAAATGAATGTCAATGAAAAGCATAGGATTTTATTATAGGTTATTTTTCTCTCTGCAATTTGCAAAAATAGGTCGGCCCGTAGTTTTGAGACTTTATCGGTAACACCAAATGGCCGAAACGAAGCAAGTTTTGATCGGCCATCTGGAACACCCTTCTCGTATGTAAAAGTGCAGGTGACAAGTCACTAAAACATAAAAAGGCTAATTGCAGAATTCCCTTAGTAGGACTGAGGCATTTATCGCACTTCAGTTTTATATTCAGTGATTGTCATTAAGAAAAAAAAAATTAAAAAACTAAAATTACCACACGACGAAGCTCAAGTCCGTTTCTTCCCAAATCCTTCGCAAAGTCATGTGGATGACTCCATCATTTTGAATGGGACTTAAGGTACAGGTAGAATAGACAACAACTCCTCCTACATTTACCAATTTTAGGGCATTGAATAATATCTCACTTTGCACTTCTGGCAGTCTCAGCCGTTCTTTGATTCTGGAAGGTTTGAAAATGTTGTTATCGTTTTCTTTTAACGAATGTCGGTCAGTGGTACATGGCACATCAACCAATACTCTGTCAAATCTCTCGCCTTCCAGGTACCTACCATCCTGATTGGTGAGTTTTATCCGCCCTGTTTTTAGCCAACGTTCATCTAAATCATACAAAAATTGCCGGTAAACATTCTCAATCCTACTGACCCGGGAGTTTGAGACATCATTTGATGTCACCGAGTCAGGATACAATGTCTGTAAAGCCAATAGGCTTTTACCACCGGGCGAGGCGCAAACATCCAGCATACTACAACCAGGTTTTAAATTCAAAGCCAAAACTGGCAACACAGATCCGCCGTCCATGAGATAATATCCCAAGACACCTGTAGATCCACATTTTGGTGATTTAAAGTCACTGAAATTATGAATTTCATAGCAGTAGACATTTAAGTTCTCAGGGAAATGTATGTCATATTCTTTTTGTACTTTTACATCAAAGACTGATGTATCAAATGTGTTGTAATGGTGTGACTCAGGAATGAAATCTTCCCGCCCTTTCAACTTTGTGGCTGGCACAAATTCTTGCAAAATTTCAGCAGACAGAGCGTTTTGGGGGTCTATCATTCTCTCCTTATCAATTTCCGCATCTTGCAAACTTTTTTCAAGTGAAAATTGGTTCGCTTGAAATTCTTTAGTTTCAGCAATAACTTGGTTCAGACTTTCATCTATTTGTTCTTCCATTTTCCATATTTTCTCCAACCTCGACTTTCTATTTTTACTTTCAAACTCGTCTTTCAAATATTGCTTTTCTAAGGTAAATAATGTCCTCATATTCAGAGCCCCCATTAATTCTAATTCAGACATTATAACCTCTCTATCACTATAATTGTTTACAACTGCTACATATTTTTGCTTTCCTAATAAACCTTCTCTTATGGAATCCCATTTCTTTTCAAACACTTTTAGGTAAAAATCGTCGAAGTGCTGCAAAGCCTTGTCTATAGGATGAATTTTTTTCCGCAGTACCGACTATAAACCGAAAAATGTGAGTTAAATTTTATTTAAAAAAAAGTGACATCCATATTAATTACCCAATGATTCGGGGGATGTTTAAATCGTACGGGTATTATTGAAATTTGATTTAGTTTCTTCAAAATGCTATACGAAAACATTATTTACGGACATAACCCTAGACTTTTTGGGAATAGTCTTTCTTTCTTTAGGTAATTCACCCAATACCGGCAACGCTTTTATATGAGTTATTGGTCAATATTAAATAAGTTTTTACCAGCAAACAATATTCTACTATCACCAAGAACTCAATTACTCGAATCAATACTCAAAAAAGCAAACCATGTTATCAAACAAAGATTACCAGAATCCAATTAATTATAGATCCCGTACGCACAACATAAATAAATTATAGAGATGAGCAATTTATATAAGGCATTATATATGCCGGCCGGTAATGTAAAAAGCACAATATCTTCAATGCCGGCCATGCTTGATTTCCACACGCCAAAAAGAAGAAGTTTTTTGTGCGTTTCCGCTTTGCATATGAAAATGTCAAACTGATTTGTGCGTTGTTAACCAAAGAATTAGTAAATAAATGTTTATATTTGGCGTCTTTTTTAATTTAATTGGGTGTACATTATGTGGATGGAGGAACAAGATTCGGGTGAACAAAGCTTTGTTTATCTGAGCGGTATGTAGTATTCGGTTTGCTGATGTTGTTACATGCTAATTATTGAATATGTTTTAGAGAATCTTTCTCACGATTGGACCAAAGAAGGAACGCTCGCCCTCCAGAATTGCCACATATCGTACCTGGAGCTATTTGAAAACGGAACATTTAAAACAAAAAGAGATATGTATGAAGCAATTTCCTTACATTTGGCGAAAGCTGGTTACAATTACACAGCTAACCAATGCTACAACAAGTGGAGAACTATGCAAAAATGGTATCTGCGACAGCTTCGCAAACCTTCTCAAAAAACCACAATCATCAAGTAAGTCAGGTATGGCATTTATTATCCAGTGCTATTTATATTGCAATTTGTAGACAGGAGCCAATATCTGATGAAGAAGTTGATGTATGCAACGGGCTTGATAATGAAGAGACAAGAGCTAAACGCGCAACTAAAAGGCCTGCCCCACAGCCTCCAAATTTTACTGATTTATTAGGTCATATTCAGAATAACATTAATAAAAATTCAAAAGATTTAAATGAGAAGCTTGACGCACATTTGGAAATATCTAGAAAGACCTGTGAAATTCATGCTGGTTTGCTCAAGGTTTTGGAAAGTGTATGGCAAAATTCGGATGAAGTGTTAGAGCTAAAGCGACAGAAGTTAAACAAACAAGATGAAATTATAAACCAGATGAAAATCCAAAACAAACTTTTAAGTAAAATAATAGAAAAAATCAATAAAAACGGTTAATAAAGTATATATATTTTTTTAAAAACTGGTTTTTCAATTTCACCAAACAAGTAATTGCCTATGTAAAAAATGGGCACAATTATATCAAGCAACTAGTTTCGCAACAGCGTATTCCTCCTAAACCATGGCGGAAGGCTGTCCTACCATATAAGTTACGAGACACATTCGACAGTAGGATAGTACTAAAATTTTACTTGAATTGGGATACTTTCAAAATTTTGACATATTTTGCAATTAAAAACATATATCTCTAGAGGGCTTTCTAAAACAAAATTTTATGTAAATATAAATCTGGCATCACTTTAGTCTATATTTAATTTTACACTTTTTCGTAGATGTATAGAGCTTTCTTAGGAAATCGAGAACTGGTGCCTAAAGAATAATTTCGGATATTTTCGCAATCAGTCTATATAGTCAATTGGTTGAAATTAAACTTTAATTAATGTTATATGTTTATTAGACAATAATTTATATTTCTTCCTACAATTACTTAACGAAATGAACATTATGTCATTAATGAACGCGCCTGTATTGTTATCCTTTACCACAGCCGCCTTGACTGTCATTTGTTTGACCAACCACTTAATTTCAAACCAAAGTTTCGCGATTTCAGTCTTAAGTGCGAGTAATGATTAAGTATCAAGATTTTAGACTGATATTTTGATTGTGACTAAAAGTGTAGAGACTATCGGACATTTTACTGGTAAGTACCCTTATACAGTACAGAATATTTCGCCAAAGGTACACCGAAAGTTTAAAGGAACAAAAATGAAGTCGAATATGTTACAGTGTTGCCAAGTGTACCGCAGTTGTCGTAATGTTTAGTTGTCTAAACAGTTATCGCTACTAGAAATGTGGCTTGAACAGCGTGTTTAGGCAAAAATCGGGCCGCATTAAATAAAAATACACTTAGAAACAAAATTTTTTGACTGACATTAGTACGAGGCAGCACCGAAATTTTTCACTCTCTCTGAGTATTTATTGCTGTGACTACAAAAGCTGCATAACCTTGAGCCATTCTGGTGGACCAATTAATTGCATACAACCGAGTTGCATCATATTAAAATTTGTTCTAATACTTCAAATTGCAGGCGAGAAGTTGCCGCGATTTGGTAATTTTTGTAGTAGTTTCATTGCTGCCAACCGAAAAATTACGTTGGTAGTTTTTGGACTTAATGAAATTGAGTTAGAAAAAATAATCCCTAAGACTTGTGAAACGGTAAGTTAATTTCTTCACATTTTATAAACTTTATTATGGGATAACTCGTATTTTCAACACAGTCTGAGGTTAGGTAATTTTTCAGTTAGTGATATTTAGTAACTTGTAAAGTTATTTAGAGGATGGTCACTACACCCTTGTGACTGGAAAATCGAATTTTTTGAAAGTATATATGCTGGTATAAAAATTTTCTATCTGGGTATCGGTAGGATCTAGCGAACCGTCGATGGTACAGAAATGGTCAGTGTAGAAAAAAAAATTTTTTTGTTTTTTGTTCTCCGTTTTCTGTTCCAGAGTTTTTCGCTGATGGCTTCCGAACGGTTTGAGCTTTAAACTTTGCTTCTTTTCAACAGTCCGCGGTGTGCATAAGATATTTTAAAATGGCCGCGATCGAACCTTTTTTTTTTCGATTTTCGACCGTTTTTTGAACGTTGCTATGAAACACAATAAGTGTCCGAAATTTGAAGCTATCGATTTGGGGGTCTGGGGGTCAGGAACTATTTTGCATATGCGGAAACCGCATATGCAATCGTAAAAGTTATTGAGTGAAAAGATCCACAAGACCTAGTGCTATTAATCTTTATTCGTAGCAATTTTCAAAAATATACAGGCTGTGTCCGGTATTCCCAATAAACTGAAAATTGAGTTCTTCTTTTAATAAAAATTGTCTATAACTAGAAGGTCGTGATTCAGTAGTCAGTAGTACGGACAGTTAAAACTATTGTATTTAAGGTTTTCACCTATTGTACAGGGTGTTCCGGATATTCCGTGCTATGTAAGACATGGATTAAGTGTCTTAAATCTAAACAGTAGAAATTGGGCAGAATCAAATATCACTAAGTATTTAAAAAAAAAATTTCTTTGGTTATTTTGGTTTCCAGAAAAACACGAGTTTCTCAAAAACTATTCAACCGATCGGCAAAATTTTCGAACCAGGAAACGCGAAAGATCCGGGGCTATAACTTTTATTTACATACAGAGTTTTTTAATTATGGACAAAAATCTAAAAGACCGTGAAAATTGTACTTTATTTATTGTTAGGCTTAAATCAAAAATTCGTTAAAAATATGGCGAATTGGTTTAAACAATATTATAGGCAGCATCAAGAGCTACAACTTTTTTATTTACGGTTTTCGTCTAGACGCCATGACGTGGTTTGCTATTACGATGTACTGCATGGTTTCAGAAAAAAAGTATTATCTTGAAAACCATTTAAGCTATTGGAAAAATTCATGAACCATTAAAAGTGGGGGCTATAACCCCTACCTTTAGCATTTTTTCAGTAACATATAGAGTGTGTCTTTAATGGCCCCTAAATGAAAAACTACGAAATATGGGATATCGTAAATTGTTGCAAAATTGCACAGGAGTACGATAGAAAAACGCTATTTCCCTTTTTTGTTGTTCTACCTAGAAAAAGTGAAAGAAAAAGATATAATTCCTTCCATGTAAAATAAGATGACCCATAGAACACGCAAGAAATGCATTTCAGAAGTTCAGGGCGTTGCTTTCAAATAATACACTAAATATCAAAACGAGAAAAGTTGGTAAAATGTTACATATGGTCGATTCTTATGTATGGATGCGAAACATGGACGCTTAATAAAGAAAAAGAAATAAGATCGAAGCATTTTAAATGTGGACATACAGGAGAATGCTTAAAATATCCTGGACCACAAGAACCTAAAATGCAGAACTTCTTCGAAGACACAACAGACTACTTCTGAATATTATCAAGACAATGGATGATTTACCCCATGTAGCACAAATATCGAGAAAGATCAGAGACATCGTGAACGTGGTCTACGTTCTACGTTTAATAGAACAAGATAAGAGAAAAATTTAACCTTTGGAGGCATAATAACTTTATGTTTGTTTATTTTAGACTAGACTTTGAAATCGAGGAGCTTGGGATTCTGCCGCTTGCGAAATAAAACGTAACCAAACGACATAAATAAATTTTTATTGTCTCAAAACGTCTGTACAATAGAACTTAAATTACGGTATTTCCCTAAAACGCGGGGCGGCGCCGGATCCGATCGTTTCGCGCTACTTAAACTAGCCTTAACTCCAGAAACGAGTTCCTTCTATCCCGGAATATCCATTAAAAATTCTCCGCCTCAATTACCCGACAACTCCTTCATTCTATTCAACGCGCTGCCCGCCTTGAACCACGTGATCTGCAAGTCGTTCAAGGTGTGGTTCAGGTAAATGTTGTCCACCGATCCGTCGGCGTGTTTCACTTCGCACACCACAGGTTTGCCGGGTTTTAGATCTTTTAAACCTTTCAGACTGATCTTATCGGTAGGCTGGATCTTGTCGTAATCGCTGGGATCGGCGAACGTTAACGGCAACAGACCTTGCTTTTTGAGGTTAGTTTCGTGAATCCGCGCGAACGATTTGACGATTATGGCGCGTCCGCCCAAATGTCGGGGCTCGAGTGCCGCGTGCTCTCTCGAAGAGCCCTCGCCGTAATTTTCGTCTCCGACCGCGACCCACCTGACACCTTTGGATTTGTAGTAACGGGCGACGTCGGGCACGGAGCCCCATTCTCCCGTTAGTCGGTTCTTGATTTTATTCATTTCGCCGTTTTCCGCGTTCGTCGCGCTGTAAAAGAAAAACCATCCCGTCCAGACCGATGGGATAGAGACGAAGAGGTCACGTGACTCACCCGATGAACATGTTATTGGAGATGTTGTCCAGGTGGCCGCGATACTTGAGCCAAGGCCCGGCTGCCGAGATGTGGTCTGTAGTGCACTTGCCTTTGACTTTGATCAGGACGACCATGTCTTCCATGTCTTTGTTGTCCCACTTGTCGAACGGTTCGAGGAGCTGCAGACGTTGGGATTTCGGGTCGACCTTGACGGAGACGTTGCTGCCGTCAGCAACGGGATGTTCGTAGGTGTCTTGACCGGGATCGAATCCCTTGCTGGGCAACTCGTCTCCGTAGGGTGACGACAACTTGAATTTCTTACCGTCGGCACCTGAAATCGTAAATTTTAGGTGCGACCCGAGACCAGGTCAAGTCAAGTGTCACTTTCAAAATTTCTGCTCTTGGAGAAAAAAGAAAGATGATACACGAATTTGGTAGGAAGAGAACGTCGACAAATCAAAGAAAAATATGGTCTTTCAAACGGAGTGCTTGCACTTCTAGAAATACCAAAGGATTGTCGAACTGCCATTGCCTTTAGGTTTTTTTGCACAACGTTCCGGGATTGTTGATTTAAATGTATTTTTTTCGAAGGACCTGGTATAAAGGTCGGAAATAGTAAAATGGCAGTCTACTGCATCCTCTTCTACCACCTTCAAGCAAACCTTGAATTGCTAGTCGTCAGCACTAAGACCTTTTGCTATTACTGAATGGCAGATTAAGTTCTTCAACAAACCCAAGACAGAGAAGCTTAAACTAAGTACAAAATTTTTTTAAACAACACCAAGTGTATTTTTCGAAGAACTGTAATACTTTTTACAAAAACTTTTGGATTCCTCCTGCGTCGGTTTGTGCTGAGTCGAAATTGCTGACGTTTCGCCAATCAGTTTCAGTCAAGCTCTGAAGAAGCCAACAGGATGATTGGCGAAACGTCAGCAATTTCGACTCGGCAAAAACCGACGCAGGAGGAATCCAGAAGTTTTGTAAAAAGTAACACTAAGTATAGACAAAACAGAAAGCTGAGATGCAATAATTTTTCCAAACTACTTTAGTTTTAAAGATGGAAAAGCACTAAACGCATTTTTGATTAATTGAAGATCCTTAATTCCATAGAGCATTTTAGACAATGCAAAGAGCAAAATACGAAGTGGTCAAAAGGACAGTAAACGAAGTTTTCCCGCACCTAGAATCTTAGGCGAGTACCTAGACGAAATAAAAAATAGAAAAAGTTATCAAAAACGCCGAGACAAAGAAAAGTAGACGTTGTTTTCGGCACTTCTTCAGATTGGAAAAGATCTAGCAGACCTAAACCCTCCAAACACCAGACAAGAGTAGAAGTGTCTCTCAAAACCTTAGTTAGACCATGTCTTTAATCATTCAAAGAACTCATTCATTCATTTCTTAGAGCAGGTTTTCCAGAGAAACTTCCTGCAATTATTTTCACGTTGAAATCTATTACAACAGGGTATCCAAAACCTTACCAGTAAGTTCGTCAGTGAGTGGATTGAAATCCAGGCTTCCGACAATGCTCAGAGCGGTGACTAGTTCCGGAGATGTAACGAACGCGTGCGTCGCAGGATTGGCATCGTTACGACCCGTAAAGTTCCTATTGTATGACGTAACTATCGTGTTTTTGTCACCCTTTTTCACGTCTTTGCGGTCCCATTGACCGATGCATGGACCGCAAGCGTTCGCTAAGACAGTACCGCCAAATTCGGTGAACGTTTTCGTGATGCCGTCGCGTTCGATCGTGGCGCGCACCTGCTCCGACCCGGGGGTCACGTTAAAAGGAATTTTCGACTTTAAGCCGTGTTTCATCGCGTCTTTAGCGATACTAGCACAGCGACCTACAAATCGAAACGACAGTTATCGAAGCCGCCACCTTCGAAAACTCGAAAGACCAACCCATGTCCTCGTACGAGCTGTTGGTGCAGGACCCAATCAGTCCGACTTTGATATCGACAGGCCAACCGTTCTTTTTCGCGTTCTGACCCAATTTGCTGATCGGACTGGCCAAATCCGGCGTGAACGGGCCGTTCACGTGAGGCTCGAGGGTGTCCAGATTGATTTCGATCACCCGATCGTAGTGCGAACCCTCGTCGGAGTTCAGCAACACCTTTTGTACCTTGTCGGCCTCTTTGGCGATGTCGTCGCGCCGCGTGGCTTTCAAATAATCGGCCATGCGTTGATTGTACGGAAACACGGACGTGGTTGCGCCGATTTCTGCGCCCATGTTGCAAATCGTCGCCATGCCTGGAATAACACGTCGCGTTTTGGTCCTTCGAGCCGGATATTAACGCCGAAGGTGTGTATTTTTTTTTTACTGCATTTGAATCTGGTACCTGTACAAGAAATGGAGTCGACACCGGGCCCGTAGTACTCGACGATAGCCCCGGTGCCACCTTTGACGGTTAAAATATCCGCGACTTTGAGAATGATGTCTTTGGGTGACGTCCAGCCGGATAGTTTGCCAGTTAAGTGTACCCCGATGACGTTGGGACACTTTAGCTCCCAGGGAATGTTCGCCATGACGTCGACGGCGTCGGCTCCGCCCACGCCGATACACAAGCCGCCCAGGCCGCCACCGTTGGGCGTGTGGGAATCGGTACCGATCATGAGTAAGCCGGGAAACGCGTAGTTTTCGAGTATGATCTGGTGAATGATTCCGGATCCGGGCTTCCAGAACCCGACGCCATATTTATTGCCGGCCGTTTTCAGAAACTCGTAGACTTCCTTGTTGAGGTCCTTGGCCCGCGCCAGATCTTTGTCGCCTCCTATCTGGGCTTCGATCAAGTGGTCGCAATGGATAGTGCTTGGGACCGCGACCTTTTTCAGGCCGCTCGAGATGAACTGGAGCATGGCCATTTGCGCGGTCGCGTCCTGCATGGCCACGCGGTCGGGACGCAGACGTAGATAGGATTTGCCACGTTCTATTTCCTATAGTTATTTTTTTTTATTGATTTGCCAATGCCTGAACCATTTTACATATAAATGAAATCATAACACATTCATAAGGTGACCAGACGTCCTTTTCTAAGAATCCTTCAATTTGTTTTGCGTTTTAAGAATCCTACGGGCTACGACGACTAACATATTGCCTTTGCCAGTTAGACTGTATTTGTCATATTTGGCATCAGAAAAAAATGACAGTAGAAAACAAATAGAAATATTTAAACATTTGGAAACAAACTAAGTTCCTTACAATAATGTATTAAAAACATATGCTCTATCTTTACCTGGAACTAACGCTGCCACTGAACGCGTTTTTTCTAGTCAATCAAGTGTGGACATCAGAAAAATTAAAATTAAGTGTTGAAACTTTGAAAGCCATTTTGTGTGCCAAATATAATTTGACAAATATTTGAAGTGAAGATTTTCACAATATTGAATTGAGAGCAATCTACTGAAAAAAATTCACTCAAATAAAAAATATGTCAAGTAATAAAATATTATACATTCTTTTATATCATTAGATTGTACTTATGATAAAAATAAAAAAATATTACGATATTTTGCCCATCTAAAAATCCGGCCACCTCACACATTCACCAGAAACCATGCGAAATGAAAATGTATAATATAATAAGAGACGCGGCATTATCTAACTTTTAATTTAATATATAGCAATTATTTTTTGCAAAACAAGAAAAATACCCACAGATTAATTTTTCATGCCAAAATAAAAAACTGCGTTTAAATAACCCCTGATCGAACGCTAGAAATAATAAAGGGCATAACGGCGGTGTTTACCGGTTAGTTCGTCTATAATTGTCACAATTTAATTTAAATTAAATTAAATCAATATTTGGCATGCGATAAATAGGTTACGCTTATTTATGAATCCAAATACTTGGTCAAACCGTCGCGCTCCATGCCAGCTGATCAAAAACAAATGACGTCAATGTCAAAAAAGTCAAATATTAACCTAACTCTTTCGGAATTATGTAACAAAAAAAAACAAAACACAAGAAATGCAGTGAAAAGGTCAACAAACGATATTTGTTTAAATTCGTCGACAACAAAAACAAATCAAAGTCTACTGCAAACTCGTTAAGGTTAAAGTACAAATTCAACTCTTTAGGGCTTACTTGCGTCTCGGGTTGGTCTATGTGGGAATAGAGCACTTTCTCCGACAGAGTCAAAGGTCTATTTAGCCGCTTTTTGACTATTTCTAGGTTTTTAAGAAGCTTTTCGTAGGGCAACGGTTCGGGATCAAATTTGGACATTGCCGTCTTTACGGCGGCAGCCGCTAATGGTGAAATGTGGAAACATCGCACTTGCACTTCGTTTAAGAACAAGCTGCTGGCTTTGCTTCCCTAAAACAAAATGATAATTAAATACCACTCAACCTGGGTAACGTTTAAGCTTTCAAAAAAGAAAAGATACCCAAATCGACTAGTTAATAAATTAATAAATATGTTACATAACAGCTGAAAAAATTACTAAAATCCCACAATAATCCTGAAAGATTTAACCGGTCACAAGTATCTTACTTGGCGATGCAAAACTCGCATACAGTACGCCATCGTGAAGCAAACCACAGGGCAACTCTGTTAATTAAGATGTATAGCAACTATTTTCGACACTAAAACCCCCAATCGGCACTTTCGGTAACGCGATTTGCTAGCGACTGTTTTTACGTAGAGCGAAAGGGATTCCGTTGCACAGAACTGGCTTTGGTCGGTTGCCCGCGCTACTTTATATGAAATTTTCCATTTATTTAAACAATTCGGTGAGCGTGGTGATTAGATTAAACGACTGCATATATTTTTCTGGTCATGCGACGACTGCTATCCTTGCGGATGACTGTTTTTCATTTCAAAAGCGCCGCGATGTTGGTTGCATACGAACGCAGACGACTGGCGATTTATAGAAACGTCGGTGCAAAAAGGCACTAATAATTTTAGACGTAGAACATAGACAACGTAGCGTTGATTGCGCAACTTGTTGCAATGTGGTGGTCGTCCCGCAGTTATGACAGGAATAAAGACCTGACTTGAGATAACGGGTTATTGTGGCTAAATGCATTCTCCTCACGCAAAATGTTTAATTATCGATTATAGGGAGTGCTGGTCCAACATGGCGTTGATATCGTAATCGAATATTGCTTATTTATGTTTATCGATTTCGAATAATTATAACATTGACTCGCGGACTCTTTTTTTTATGAAAACTGTTAGGTGCTTTTCGGAATGGTACACTGGTTGGCAACAAACGGTAGTTTTGGTTAGTTGACAAAATTGATAATCTTATTTTTTTTCAATTATTTAAGTAACTCTGTTAGACTATCAGGTAACTAGCTCAGCTTGGAGTGAGTTTATATTAATTTTGACTTTCCTAGTTTTGTTTGCAACCGTGGGGAGAAAGGTATTTGAAAAAGAGTATCTATTTAAGTAAATAATCGTAAGAGAGACAACGTGGTAGGTACTTATTTCTAGATAAAATATAAGAAAACATGCCCGGTTCGTTACGGATATGGGACGAGATCGAGAAAAATAAATAAATTTCACCATTATAAACGCGGTTAAGCTAACAATAGTTAGTTGAGCCGCCTAGTCGACGACAAAATAATATCTGCGTTATTTAATCGCCAAGCGCTTAGGCAAAAATTAAAACAACGTTATTGCAAATCGCCTTCCCGTCTATTTCGTACGTACCCGCGACCTTGAGCATATTTAAATATAATTCTAAAAATAAAAGTCGTTTTTTTTTGCCCGCAACAATAACAATCGGGCGGAAAAAAAAACAAAAAAAAACGAAAATTGCAAAACGTCGTTATTAAAGGCAAAATTCCTGACGGCGCGGGAGGGAGAACCCTCTAACGTCGCGGCCGCGGCCCCTCCCAAATTAATTCCAGAGGGTATTTTGTGCATTTTAGGAGGGGGCTTAATCGATACGACGGCGGAGACCCCCCCCGGGTGGCGGGGTAGTCGTGCGGGCCGCCTCGTTCCGTGTATAGCGCCGCGTCCCACGCCGTTATTTTCTTTAAAATAATTATTTAAAAATATTTTGCGATTCGTTCCGTCTCGCCCGTGGCACGTTTTAAATAATTAATTATTTTTTACGTCGGGCGTCACCTCGGTTTGGGTTATAATCGGCTCGCCGCTCGCAAGGTAACGTTCAAAGTATTTATTACTAAGCTGCTGTTTGTTTAATACGCGTTATATTAATATCGGGGTCCCCGCCGATTACGTTCGTTTTTAGTTTACTTTATCGATAAGTTTCCCTGTGACGTACTGTCTGCCCAATATGTGACGGACGCCCGATTTTCGCGTTTTTTTAACTAGGAGATACGTATATACGGGGTGTCCACAACTCTTTATTTTTTCAAGTCGTATTTAGACGAGTGACATTTTATTGTGGCATCAGGTTCTTGTTCTTTACAAAAATTCCGCTGAATATTACAAAAAAAATTATTTCCTATGTTGGAGAATTGAAAACATCGTATTAATTAAATTTTAATTATTTAATTATTTCTAACAAATTGTATTATATTTTTTTATGGGAAAAAAACAGAGGATTAAAATGCTTCTTTTAATAAAATTTTAATAATCCATTGTAAGTAATTAAAATTTAATTAAAAGTCTATTTTAATTATCTGACAATTTAATTGTATTTTAAGCATTTAAGTATTAAAACACCGTCTTAAATTAATGGTTAATTATGAATTAATTATATTACTTATTTTTTTTATAATAAGGAGAAAGGCTACGGCTATCGTATCATTTGTTTGAGAATCAGAAACATCATTACAATTAAATTTTAATTATTTATTGTAAATAATTCAATTTTTATTAAAATGTTATTTTCATTCTTTGGGAAATTATATATATTTTTAAAATAAAGGAAAAAGAAAAGAAATACATAAAAATTTTCTCAATTGTTATCTAGCTTTACATTTCTCTCTCTCTCTCTCTCTCTCTCTCTCTCTCTCTCTCTCTCTCTCTCTCTCTCTCTCTCTCTCTCTCGCTGATATACTGCGACCTCGATGGTGAGAATCGAATTTGCGACACCCTGTATACGTCGTTGGTGTTGGTACGGCGTATGCGTCTAATGATACGCTCGCCTCTCTCTCTCACTCCCTCTCCCTTTCCCTCTCGCTCTCTCCCTAATCGTTTCGCGTCAAGAAAGTTGCGATTACGGGGGACCCGCAATAATAATTAAGTTTTTATTTAGCGTTATTAGTAATTATAGTCGGCGCGCTCGGCCTAAATTACAGTTAATCGCGCCCGTATGGAAAATATAGATCTTGATGGGGGGGAAGGGGGGGCGACGTTGACCTAGAAAAAGGGGGGGGACTGAAATAGTTCGAGCGATTTTTAAAATTTCAAAAATCAGTTTATTGGAATCGTGTAAAATAATATTTTTTGGACTGTTGCTATATTGTAAATACTTTTGGAAAATTATATTTTTTAAATTTTAGTCTACACGCATATTTGTTAAAGATTTTCCTGTTGGGTTGTACTAACGCTAGCAAAGCAGGAACCGACTACACCTAGGCTCCGGCACGGTGGCAATACCGCTATATTAATTATATTAAATTAATTTAATTTAATTCATTATATTAAATTAACTCGATTAATTAAATTTAATTAACTATTTTAAAAATTTTGTATCGAATTTTAGTCAAATTTCGACAGGCAAAATTAGCAAAGAAATGTTTTATATTTAGTGGAATATAATATGAAATAAAATTTTCGAAATGAGATTCGGTTGTTTTAAAAATTTGTACTTTTTTTATAAATCTCGATGTTTTAGGTTCTACGTCAGAAAAAAAGTTTTTTTTATGAAGTTTGTTGAACTTAGAGCATTTTAAAACATCTTTTTTTCAATTTTTCGGTTTCATTTAGTTTTGATAGAGTCATTAAAATCATTATATTTTTTACTGCTGTCAAATTGATAGGTTTATATATTTTTATGTTGGACTGAAGATAGTTCTTTCTTCTTCCAGCACAGTTTTCAAAAATAAATACCGTAATTAGGGTCGTGAAATAATTATAAAAAATACAATTTAAAAAATACATTCAAATTTATATTTATTTTTTTTAGATCAACTTCAAGTTCCTAAATTAACTCCTTGCCTTGCTTCTTCTTGAAACAGGTTCCATACATTTGGTTTACCAAACCTTTAAAACTTCTCTCTTACGAAAGTGTTAATTATGGAGAGTCGCCTCTCGATGCTGTGTTTTGACCGCCAGCTATCTCTAGCACAAGGCACACCAAATTCAACTGGGCATGTCAGAGCCGTTTCGTGAGTTGGGTTATAATGAGTGGTGGAGCAATTCATCGTATATCACTCGTATACGGGAAAAAAATGACATGCTATTTTAAAACAAAACTTTTTTAAGCAGATCTCAACATTGCAGTCGGTTCACACTCCACGAATTTTTATTATCGCACAATTAGGATTAAGTAATAACATTTTTCTGAAATTTTCCTAGGAAGATGGTATTTAAAACATTTTAGTCGAATTTGACTAGTCAATTAAGAAGTGGTTAGTTGATTTAAAAACGAATTTTCTGTATGACAATAAGTACTAATAAAATAGAATTAGGCTCCAGAAAGGTCATTTATCCACGAGTGATTTTTGATTAATTTTCTATACAGTGTGTCCCGTCCCAGTGTGAACTGTACACCCTTGTGAAATCTTTGTTCATAGATCGATTTTTATTTTTTTTTGTTGGAGAGATCTCTGAACTACTAAACCTTGTTTTGTCTATTACTTCATCTTAAAGTCATGGCCAACTGGGACTATTTAACAAAAGAGAGAGAAGAGGGAAAGTACTATTAGAGTTAAAAAAAATAAATTGGCAACGAATTCCTATTCAGGATTACTTAGAACCCAACTATAATAATTACTATAATGTTTTAATAGAGGGTATTTTGTAATCTTTGATTACGGATTGATTTTAATACCTTTCCCTTGGTGGATAGATTTCTCAAAAACGCACTAAAACCTTATGTTTGTTTTACAGCAACCTAATGCCATATGTCAAATATCGAGAAGGTCTATAAGGGATTTCTTTAAGAACAAAGCGTCAACAAATACATATTCAGGACAACATAAAACTTAAGCATTACTCCTGTAGAATGTTTGTTTATCGCCCAATTTTGATAATTCTTTTGTGCTGGGTAGATCTTACTAAAAACCGTTTGGTTTTTTTCATATAGCTCCGACTACATTCATGGCTCACTGACAGAGTTTTTTGAATCGGAAAATCAAGAAGTGCTTTTAGAGATCTTTTCAAATTGAAAATGATAACAGATTCGTATCCAGGACTATCTAAAAGTAACTAGACCAATGACCAAAGTTGTAAAAAACTATTATTTTGTATGTGATTTTAAGATCTCACAAATTTTAATTATACAAATTTCATAAATAATGATAAAAAAGGCTTTTTAAGGGACATTTATTTTTTAGTATCGTATTAAAACAACAGCATAATGTAAACAAAATGAAAACATAAATTAACTAGTATATTTGACATTCGAATATTCGCTTCTCCATGGAAAACTTGGTTTTACAAAGGAAACAGACGTCAATCAATTTTGATATTTTTTTAATCAAAAAAATACAGTGTTGTAAAGTATGTTTAGTTCAGATCTAATCCTGTCTAATCATATTTAATTTAAAGCAAATCGTTAATGTTTTTCAGTAAAATCTATCCAACAAAAAAGAATTATCAAAATTGAGCCATAAATAAACATTCTACGGGAGTAATGCTTAAGCGAGGCCCCGTAATATTTAGAGCACCCTGTATTCGAACTTCATGGAAATTAGCATAGTTAGATTTTATGTATTCCTGAATAAGAATTGGTTCTCGATATTTGACGTGAAAAATAAATCCCAGTGAGTCATGACTCTCGGTTGATGTAAAAACAAACATATAGTGCATTTTTCAAGGAAAAATGATCAAAATCGAATCATAAACAAAAATTTTACAGTCTCTTAAGTGGGACACACTGTATGTAAGTTCGCCTATTTTTACCAGGTTTCGATTACATTTTTCAAATGTCTAAATATTCTACTTGAAATAGCATTTGCTCAATTCGAGATTACGCAGTTTTGTAGGACTTGTAGCGCCAGTAACTAACCCATTTTGAGATTTTCCCTTATCACGTAATGGCCACGTTTGTCCCCCAGATGAAGACGCCGTCGACGAAGTCAGTCCGGCTGTTCAGCGACCGCCACATCGAGAACCTCGAGAACATCTTCAGGAAGCTGTTTAAAGAGCAATTGTTAACCGACGTGACGATCCACTGCAGGGACGGTTCGGTGAAAGCCCACAAGGTGGTGCTGGCAGCGTCGAGCGCATATTTCCGTCGCGTATTCACCGCGCACACCGAACCTCAAGTCGCTTACGTCATGCACGGGGTCACGTGCGGCCTGATGGCCAGCCTCGTCGAGCTGATTTACAGGGGCAGCACCGAAATCGCCAACGACACGATGGGCAATTTTTACGACTTAGTCGACGATCTCGAAGTGAAGGGCGTCAGTTGCGACGAGGTACGTCGACGATGCGTCGTCGTGTTGGGAAAAATCCTAAGGTGTTCTGCATTTCTTTGCAAAAAAAACTTACGTTAACCAAAAACTTGGAATTATTAATGTCCTCATTTATTTGTTGAAAAATGAAATTTATATTTATTTATTTATATTGTGCGTAACGTCGTCGTTCTGGGAACCAAATAGAGCCGATATTATTATTGGAATTCCCGAATAAAACACATATTATTACTAAATGATGACAGATAGCATTCTACAATTGAAAAATTTTATTTGAAACACTTTTTAGCTAGTCAGTCAAGAAGTGGTCAATTGACCAGCCCCAACACTATTCATGACAAAACTTCAAGCATGCATGTAACCGATCATTTTGAATTTCTTTTAAATTGCACTTAAATATCGAAGAATGTTTTAGCTGCTCACTTAGAGTTGCCCAAAATATACCGGGGTTCTCGGAAATGGTCCTCTGGGAGCCAGTTCAAAAGTTCCGCAAAATTTAATGCAATTAATAATTTTGGGTAAAGTATATCTGTTCTTTGGCATATGTTCATTAGGTTTCTATATATTTACTGAATAAGTAGAATCTAATTAAGCCCTAATATTGGTTGACCCGAATAATGCAAATTCCATACAATTATGAATGTGGCCTTTAGAATTTTCATGTCATTTTATTTTCAAACATAAATGCTCAAGATTGGCGACCCCGTGTTCCGCCACCAAGCAGCAGGGAAAACAGTACAGAGCATTTTGTTGTTACATCCACAAATCCATTCATTTTTTGAATAAATGTCTTACCTCATGTATAACTTTTTCCTCTACTTGCAACAGATTTTTCATTGGTAATATCTGGTAATGGCAAACCTTTTGCTTTTCATCGTATGAACATTAATTAAGTACCGTTATATCGCAGCTGTAGCGCGACTCAGTAACTCCCAAAGTTGAGCAGATTGAAGTGCTTATGTCTTTCAGTCTTTAGATGAAAAAAGTAAAACGTGGTTTACTGTTCATTGTGTGCTTTTATGTGTTTAGTTTGTGTCATATTTTGAAAAGAAAGGTAAATTAAAAGTGAGGTTATTGTAGAGCTTATTAAAATTCATATTCTATTATTTCGATTTCGATTCCAATAATTCAAGTCCCTGTAAGAAAGAGTAAGGAAAAAAATATAAATACTGTAATTATGAAATACGAAAAAATAAGTTGCAAATCTATCAAAATGGATTGTTTTTAACAAAGCACCCAGCGCAATATAATTTATTTGATAATTTTTGTTCCTGATCTCAAGAATTTAAAATCTCTCCGTTTTTCCAATATTCACATTTTAGGTGAAATTAATAAATATATATATATATATATATATATATATATATATATATATATATATATATATATATATATATATATATATATATATATATATATATATATATATATATATATATATATATATATATATATATATATATATATATATATATATATATATATATATACTCGTATATAGCCATGGTTTCCGTTAATATTCATTTCAAAATTTGGTAACTTTTCCGTTAAACTTATCAACTACTTATTTATTATTATAATTTGGAGTCCCGCTGCGTCGGATGTTGATAAATAAATAAAATAAATAATAATCCTGGCGCCTTCTCCAAAGCTTAGCTGCAACTGGAAATTTCTTTGGATTCTCGGATTTTTCTTGGATAGAAGAATTGATTACATGCAAGAATTTTAGTTTTATCGAATAAAATTTGATGCCCGGTTTCGTGATTGTGTTCGGCAACTCCTGATGAGTTTTTTGTCGTAATCTGGTTGATATTTTTCGTCCGGTCTCTCCAATGTATTATTGGACGCATATGCATGGATTTCTGTAAACTCGTGGTATTTCAAACAGGATTTCGTGGAAGATATTAAGAGTAAATCTGGTTTTAACTTTATATTTTTTAAAAACTTTTGATATGTGATGTTCAAGCTTCTTCTCTATTAGAATCCGTGAAAATATCTGTCAACAATCACAACTCTAAAATTCCTCTTTTCTATGGACTTTCTAAGATTCACAAGTCATCCTTAGATTCTTAGATGTATTGTTAGCACCAACATATTCTCTACCAAAATATCCAGCTTCCTTATTAAAACCCTTTACAGGAAAACAACCAAACATCAACTAAAATCCATTACATCTATTATCTTTATAGAAAAGAAAAAAAATTGTCGGAAACCTATCAAAATTGTTTGGGGTGTTATGGTGCGTGCTTGCTTGCAGAAATCTCCCACCGGCAGGGACACTCGCTTCAAGGGACTGAAACGGGTGGCGGTGAATTTCGGCGAGGAAGATGAGAACGTGCAGTCGGCCAAATTGTTCGCCGCCGCTACCGCCGCCGAGAAATCGGTCAGGAAATTCGTAGGTAATTGAGGGCTTCGAATTTCACTTTCCATTTGTAAGGTGGTGATACATTCAACATTTCATGTAAAATGGCGTGCGTAATTATTCCCAGGGGCGCGAAACTAAAAGAGGCGGGATTAGATCAAATGACAGTTGAGCACGCCCCAAGGGGCGGAGTCAATGCACAAAAAGTTCCCAGGGGCGGGTTTAGGTCACACTTTAATGGGCGGATTTGAAATAAATCAACATCCTGAGGTAATAGTTACATGCTTGGAGGCGGAGTTACTAGAGGCTCACAACTAATCCGTAGAGTGGCATATTTGCTATGTGGTATTTGGAGATATTTAAAAAATATTTTTTATTATAGATAACGAGACGTCTACGAGCAGCCCCGAGTCGGCCGCCTTGTCGCCGACGGAGACGCCTAGCACTCCCCTATCACCGGAAAGCGCCAAAAGGACCGCATGGGCACTGAAGCAGCGCAAATACAAGTGCGAACTGTGCCCCAGCAGGTATTTAGTGCTCCGTTTCGATAATATGAAGCAGCTGGTCACGTTGCAGCTTTAAGCGGGCCTCCCACTTGACACGGCACCAGCTGGTGCACACCGGGGAACGGCCCTATCCTTGCACCCTGTGCGATAAGGCGTTCTCCAGGCCCGACAAGTTGAAGCAGCACGTGCGCAAAGCGCACGAGATGATTGACCCTTACCCCGACGACTTGGTGTCGGATTCCTTATACGTAAGACACTGGACCATTTCATTGCTTGGGCGTCTCGGGATGTTCACGGGAAACATTTTTTAGACCATAGGTCACGTGAAACTTTTTGCCTCGTCGGGGGATCACGAAGAGGAGGAGCGACCCATCACGAGGGAGGACTGCCCTCCGAAACCAGTCGTCGAAGCACCGCAACCTCCGAAGCCGACGCCGGCGGCGGCGGTGCCGCAAAAGAAGGGACGCGGTCGACCTAGGAAATACCCGCCCAGTAAGGCGTCGATATTTGGTCCTTCGAGCCGGATTTCAATTTTGTTTTGTTTCGTTTCAGCGCCGAAGCCGCTGTTCAAGCGGCCACGGGGACGCCCCCGGATCAATCCCCTCGGTAAGGGTTTTCCAACTCAGCGGGGGTTGTATACATTATAACTTGAGTTCGTGAATTTTCCAGCCAGCCGGACTGTCGCGCGCAACGCCGCCCCCTCAGCCAACCCGTCCGTCCCCAAAGAGAACTACGACATCACCAACATGCCCTACGGCGACATCGAGTACCTGACGAAACACATTTTGCCTTTAGACAACGTAAGTGTCTTCACTTAAAAAGCATCGCTTCAAAGGCTGGTGCATTTTTTTTTTTTTAGAACGAGGACCATCCGAGTGCGGTAGAATCAAATCTAATGGAACCGCTGGTAGAAATCAACATGGAACCGGAACGTCCGGAAAACACGGAATTGTCGTGCGCCACCGCCAAGTCGTTCTTGAGTCACATAGGACTGTTGGAGACCAGCTCCATGAGGAAGATCGGAGAGTGCACCATATCCGTCACGACGACGAGTTCTTAATAGCGGAAAACTTTCCAAAACGTTTTTTTTAAGTGTTTCTTTTGTTAACGATCGTGTTTTTTCGCTATGCAAGCGGAAATTTGTCCCAAGCGGAGAAAATTTCAAAAGTTTAATTTCCTGTTATTTTTGTTTTGTTTTTGTTATTAGGCATTTCTAGTTTGTAACAATTTCAATTACCCAATTGAATATTCAATAATAAAATTTGAAAAAGTAGTTGGAGTGTTTTTTTAGCCGAGTTGTTTTTTTCTCGCTTAGGCATGCGGAAATGAAAAAATATTTTTGGTAAGCGGTTTTAATTGGAAGCAAAGTCTGACCGAAGCATCAAGCGGAGATTGCTTACTGTGTGCAGACAGAACGAGCGGAGAAACTCCGCTAATCAAGCGGGAAAGTGGTTCGATAGTCCCTGTAAGCAGTTTAGTTTTAATTTTTTCACCAAGCAAACAGAAAAGCTTTATTGGGCCCCCTAAAAATGTTTGGATAGTTTTTTATGCTTGTAGTTTATGGGCCTGTTCATTTGAATACAAATAAGGAACTAAACATCTCGAAAACATTTTTTTCTTGTTTACTTTTAGCAAAATCAATTTTTTTATACGTGGTTCTTTAACAGACAGACGAAATTGCTTTTCTTTTAACGTTTGTAGAAAAAGCGGGGAATTTTGCGCTAAACATTTCAGTTTAGTCTTGATTCGTTAGTTAGTTTTATGATTGTGTGTTTTTTCTCTGAAAGTAGGGAAATTTCCTGTAATTAAGAACTTGTTTTCTTTGTCATTTTTTAAAATATAATCTTTATTTCATTAGCGGACTATATACCAACTTTCAACGCGACTTTTTCTCGCTCGCCACCCAAAAATTAGCGGAAATTTTCCGCTCGCGATAGAAAAAGCGGGAAAATCTCGTCCTTTAAGGTTCGATAATTGCCTTTGGTGGTAAAAAATATGGGAAAATTTTCGACGCGCCGCCGCTGACGTCCGGTCGGGAAACGCTCGATACGCGTGGGTTTTTGCGTTCCTCGCAGTCATTTGCCGGAAAGCCGGTAAACGAGATTATACCCCCACGTGTTCGCGACAGTGTCCTTTAAGTATATAACCTCGAAAAAAAAATCGCCCCCGACGTTTAGACATCATGGACGTCGTGGTGAAAAGTGATCGCGTAGAATACACGGAGCGGTATATTTTATCGAAATACGATTACCAGTACTGCAAGGCGGAGAAGATCGGAAACCGTGCGGTGGTAAGAAAATAGGAAAATATTACCCTTACTCGTTTTGGAAAATTTACGGGAAATTCCGTGAGGATGGAATTTTCCAGTATACCTACGGGATAATCGATAAGTGCGAGCAAGAGTTCGCCTCGTGCGTTGTAATAAATAAACAAATTTTTTTGTTTCTTGAATTCGCACTGTATCGAGGAGTGAGAAATGTATAATATATAATAGTGCATCAAATTTTTCAAAATAAACGCTATCATTTTTTGTGACTCAAATAATTTTACAATGTTGATTCACTAAACCAGCAGATAAAAACGCAAAAATTTTCAGTGGCGTGCTACTAACGTCTTATTTTAAGAAATTTCCTGTTTAGTTTCGAAGCTCTATTCGAATGAGAAACTAACATTTAAATTGATCAAAGTTTTTAGATTGTTATTTTCTTTAATACCGTATGTTTCCATTTTTTCATTTTCGCATATTATTTGTTATCATTTTGTTTTTTTTAATTTTGCCTCTTTTTTATTTTCCGCCTTTTTCATTTTCATTTTGTCATTTCTAAAAACATATACTTTTACCACATTTACAAGTTTTTAAAATTTGAAAAACTTGCGTAAATTATAATAAGAATAAAAAAAGTTTAACGTTTCTAATTTTGTTTCAATTTATCAATATATTTTTTGTTTTTTGTTTCTATAGATTGCCAAAATAAAAAGGTTAACTAAAAAAATTCGTTTAAATCACCGATTTATTATTATTTTTTTTATTTTTTATTGGTTTTGTCACAAAAATACAACCCGCACTCTATTTCTCCCTACTATAAAAAAAGTTATAAAAGATATAACAAGATCTATTATATAATCCTAAAAAGTTATAAAACGCCGAAATTTGATCTAAATTTTCTACTTAGAAAGTGACGTCATCGATTTAAAAATGGACCAATTTTTGAAATGTGTATTGTAAGATTGTGAATTGTAAGATTTTGTAAAAAAATATTCAACTCGATATTTTTTCCATTTAACTACAAAATTCTACAGATATTCGCTTTTCTTTATCGCCTCTTAATCACCCTAACAATTAACATCGAGCGTCACAGAGGCGATAAAACCAGTGGCGTGTCTCCGCAGGTGGAACCCAAGACCGAACGGCTCTCTTTTCGTACCCAGCGCAAGGTACCCAAACTAGGGGTGATGCTTGTGGGATGGGGCGGCAACAACGGATCCACTTTCACCGCCGCCGCGATCGCCAATCGTTTGCGATTTTCTTGGTCGACTAGACGTGGTAACCAGACTGCCAACTGGTGATACTGGTGACCTCCGTGACCCACGGATAAGACCTCGAGGTGCTTTTCCAGGTTTGGTTCGATAACCCAAGCGAGTACCGTCAAAATATGCGAAGGAGTGCACGTGCCATTGGGTCGCATACTGCCTACAGTCGATCCAGATGATTTGGTCATCGACGGGTGGGATATCAACTCCAGCAGCATCGCCGAAGCCATGGAGCGAGCTCAAGTGCTGGAACCCGGTCTGCAGCAGCAACTTAAGAACCATTTGGTGGGGCTCAAGCCGAAGCCGGCCATTTTCTGTCAGGACTTTGTCGCTGAGAACCAGGTTTTTGTCAGTAATATTTAATTAAGAAAGGGAAGAAAAGATAAATAGCTGGTAGGTCTTTCAGTCTCGTGGGCACTCTAACTCTGATTCTTGATAAACAAACTGCCTTCCTTAATACTTTTTTACCTTTTTACGGGTATACTTTGATACTGTCCTGTAATATTTCGTTTTGTTTTCATTTTCGTCACGTGTACCGCAGAAATCGAGAGCAAATAATATTCTGAGCGGGTCCAAAGAAGACCAGGTCAACCGAATCATGAACGACATAGACGAGTTCAAGAAATCGTCGGGGGTGGACGTGGTGATCGTCTTGTGGACGGCCAACACTGAAAGGTTCAGCGACGTTCTGGTGGGCGTCCACGACACCGCCGCCAACCTAAAGGCCGCCATCAAAGCAGACCATCCGGAAATCTCCCCTTCTACTCTTTTCGCGTACGCGGCCGTCTCCAGAGGCTGCAGCTACATCAACGGCTCCCCGCAGAACACCTTCGTACCAGGACTCGTCGAGTATGCCGAAAAGAAGAAAGTTTTCATCGCTGGCGATGACTTTAAATCAGGCCAGACCAAAATCAAGAGCGTGCTCGTCGATTTCCTAGTAAGCGCAGGCATCAAGCCGGTCAGTATAGTCAGCTACAACCACCTGGGGAACAACGACGGCAAGAATTTGTCAGCTCCCGCTCAATTTAGATCCAAGGAGATTTCGAAAAGCAACGTCGTCGACGACATGGTGGAATCGAACGAAATCTTGTACAATAAGGGGGAGAAACCCGACCACGTGGTGGTTATCAAATACGTCCCTTTCGTAGGGGACTCCAAGAGGGCGATGGACGAGTATACGTCTGAGATCATGATGGGCGGTTTGAACACGATGGTGATCCACAACACGTGTGAGGATTCATTGCTTGCAGCGCCGATAATTTTGGACTTGGTGGTCTTGGCCGAGTTGTTCTCGAGGGTGGAGGTGAAGAAAGCCGACTCAGAGGATGACGCTTATACCAAGCTGCATCCCGTGCTGTCCGTGCTGAGTTACTTGTGCAAAGCGCCGCTGGTAAGGATAATAGTGTGGTCAGTTGACTGTGCAACATATGGTATTTTTTTTGCTAACTGCACAATTAAAATATTTGTGAAAAGTTATTGCATGTTCCGTAATCATATTAGGCGCACTTAAAAAATGTGCAAGTCGAACAGCATACAGGGTAGCACAAAAAATACAAACAATTTCGCAAAATATTATTAGAAAAGTCAGATTAAAAGTTCTGCCTTAATATCAAAACAGGGCCTACTAAAATTTAGAAATTTTTTGTTCCAAATCCATTTTTTTGTTAAATTAACTAAGATTTTAATTTTTTTGGCAAAACACAAATTTTATGTTTTTTATTTTCTACTGAAAATTCTATAAAAATCTTTTTAAGCGGCGTCTTTTAAATAGCAGAATTTTTATTTTAGATAACTATTATTGCAAAAATCTACTAATAAAGAGAAACATGTAATCGCAGATAACCATAAAAAACTTACTAAAATAAATAATAATAATATCATGGGCTAATCTTAACCAATTTGTAACTATACAGTTTAAGGAAATGGAAAAAAAAACAAATTTTAATAAAAACATATTAGAGGGCAGCAAAAATAAAATTATAAAAAATAAATAATTGAAGCGTTTGATGTATGTAACTGTGCTAATTTGCTGAGCGTTGATCTCAGTACATTTGGTGTAATATTTCTGCAATGAAGTCTTATTGAATTTTCAAATTTTTCAAGATAAAACTGTTTGTTTCAAATATCATCATAAGAAAAAATCTAATGGGGAGGCCACCGTGGATCGGTATTTCGTCCTAACCATTTGTTACCAAATGTCAAAAGAAGCTCTAGTAAGAAGATTCTAAAAGAAAATAAATATTACTCCTATAAACCAAAATTCGTTTGCACGTTTTGAGAACGAGACTATGATCTCTGGTACGACTTCTGCGTGTGGATTCAATAAGCAGATTCTTTTGGAGTTTTATTTTTTCTAGAATCTCCTTGACACAGTTTTTTTTTGACATCCGTATAATCCGAAATTTCTTGGGTGGATCTTCTGGAGTTTTCGACAACCCTCTGAAGTAATTTTAGTTGATTTTCCTCATTACAATTTGAAGACGTTCATTCCTATTATATTGTTAACTCTAAAGACCCTGTCTGTTCCAAATCAGTTAAAATCCTGGTATTCTCCATTGAAAATTTCTGCTGCTTAACGCACTGATTTATAATTATCTCAACACATTAAAACTAATTCTGCTTTCATTTGAAATAACATTTCTTAATAATCATATACCTACAGTTTTCTATGAAAAAATTAAAAAAAAAAATTGGTGTTTAAATGGCGATTTCTTAATATGCATATTATAATTAGCAAGAATACTTAAAAGAAATTTTGATAAAACGTTAAGTGTTAAACAGCGTTGCAACAAACAAAAATTGACTTCATTTTGAATAATGTGCGACTGTATTTAAAATTATTGAAAAAAAAAAAAGAAGGAAATTCTTAATATTTTTGGATTTTTTTATGATCCTAGTAGTGTTTTGATATTAAGGCACAACTTTTAATGTAACTTTTCTTATTAATATTTTGCGCAATTTATTGAATTAAGGGTACTTTACTCTTCTGCAGTTTTTGTATTTTTTTGTCCTACCCTGTATGCTGTTGGACCTACACAAATTTTAAGTGCTTATGGAACATGCACCAACTTTTGAAAATATTAGTATTTTAGTTGTGCAGTTAGTAAAAAAATATGTCACTGTTGTGTCAACGTCATTCGTTTGCATTGTTGCCATTCTAGTAAAATTACTTTAGATTCTGTTTAGAAATAAGCTGTTCTAACTTTAGGTTCCCGATGGTGCTCCAGTGATCAACTCGCTATTCAGGCAACGAGCGTGTCTAGAGAACATCATTAAAGCTTGCGCTGGTATTCCTCCGGATAGCAACATGGCGTTGGAGCACAAGGTGCCGTTTCTCATGGCTGACGACGCTGATTGTTATGAACCGAAAGCAAAAATCCAAAAAATTGCCAACGGAAACTAATCGGTTTTCCATTGGTGATGTCGACCTCAATGAGAAAGCGTTGTACGCGGCAGCAACGATGGCGTGAGGGGGAGGGATGGATTTAAAAAATAGGATGTAATTGATGTATATTTTTTAAATTTTATTGTCGATTATAAAGTGTGTTGTCGGATTTTGTTTTACATTCCACGCTTAACCAAACCGACTATCCAGATCAAATTTGGTTTTTGATAAACTTCAATTTTAAAAGGCAACTAAATATTAATGTATTTTGTGGTTAAACTTTATATTATACAATTATGGAACCAAACTCAAACCAAAGTCGTTTTTCCTATTTTTAACAACGCAGCCTTTTCAATCTTTTTATAATTTTTATAAAAGTACTTGCATTATAGTCTGTAGTCCTCAAACTTTCAAGTCTCATAGAGACGTTCACTAATGTAGTGTAGAAATGTAATTTATTTTAACCAAAACTAGTTAGTGTGCACGAAGGCCGCAAAATTTTGTTAAATTTGTTATAAGAGACGTCAATGCTTTAAAAGTTTAGTTGACCGAACTATATCAGAATAGCTAAAGCCTCTGTTACTTATAATGGGCATCTATAGAAGCCTATATAATTAATTGGGCTGGGCAGGTCAGACGTCTGAGATGTGAACTCAGAAAATCTCAATCCAAGCAATCTATAACGCATTTTACCTAACATTCAAATGCAAAAAAATTGGCATTTAAGCTGATCTGACTACACGACGTTCCAGAACAGATTAGGTAGAGTGAAAAATATTTGTACAAATTGCTTGGAGAGCCCTATAGACTAAACAGGCACAAATGAGAACACAAAATAGAAACACGCCGCTGCTGGAAGACGAAGATATTCACTGGTTGCCTAGACAACCGCATCGGCCGATCGTAGGCGAACAATAGCAATCGCCACGTGCAGTCTCATTTTGAAATTACGCTTGTGTGTTTTCCCAAATACCTCAACTCTAATTTACAAATTATTCCATAAAATTTAAGTATATAGAATCATAAAAACTCAACCATATTGAACTTTGTATGCAATGCAACGATTCCATGTACTGTTTACATATCCTCCACCCTTTATCTCTAGAGATATAGACGTATATACGAGGTGCGCGCAAAAAGGAAGGTACTTTTGGAATTGGAAGTACATTCGATCTTTAATACTTTTTTTTATGTTGGTACACATATCTCTATGGTTACAGCTTCAGCAGTTCGCACGTTTTCTTTTTTTGTGAAACAGAAGCGTTAGACCTGTTGTGTGTGCTCGGCGATTTTCTGTTGTCAAAAAAAAAATGGAACAAAAAATTTTCATTTACTTTTTGAACACTTCTCGTACATATTCTTCCTTTTGAATAGTTTTCGGGAAATATTTCATAAATTAGCGTTTTTGTAAGAATTTACTGTTTTTTTTTTATACGTATTAACCTTTGGAGAGACTCTTGTCCTAAAATTATAAGTATAATATCCGGTAATTATATGATATAATAAAATTTGCGAATTAACTTGGAAGAAATGTATTTCAAAAGTCGAAAATTCTAACCATAAACTTCTAAATATGGCTGCTACACAGTCTAAAAGAACAATCGACAAACGCGCGTTCTGCAGGACGTCGTCTGAAACTAATTTTCAACGATCAAAATTGCATTTACTGCGTTTCCATTTAGAGGGGGCCCATCGCGATCGAACGATAAGCTTCAAGTGGATTTGATACTGCCACTTACACTAGTATATCGACGAACTGATCGCATTGTGAAAACGAAAACATACTCAGTCGCGATAAACAATATTTCGAACGAAAATGAAACTTCTCACGCAGGTCTTGGTTGTCTTGGGGCTGTATTATTCAACGGCCGTGGGTAAGCGCAAAATGTTCTAGTAAAAAAACACTTACGGACCGTACCACTAATTCAATCGCAATCTGCAGGTTTGGAATCGTTCCCTGCGGAACCATTTGGACTGATCGATGGACAAATAAATTCCACGATAAACGGTTTGCTGGCAAACCTTTCTGACCCTTTCGAAATTGAAGATTTGTCGGCCACTTTCGACAGCGAACTCTTAACGTAAGTGCAAAAGAGAATTTTTGTTGCAAGCCACTAAAATTTGAGGATCATCATATAAATCGCGAAAGGTAGTCGCCACAGGCTAGTGTTTAAAAATCAAAACAAAAAACGTCCAGCTCATCTCAAAAAATAACAAATATTTTTAATAATATTATAAATTCTGGATGTGAATATAATTAATCGTGAGAAATTAGAAAGGTCGCAAATTATAAACATTACCCAACGTGTTTCAAAGTTCAAAGATCTGTCGATCTTTCAAAATAATCGTTTACACTTAAAAATTTTTGAGATGCGCTTTTGTATTGCTACTTTTCTACACGCAGGTAGATAAATTGTGGTCTAATTCGAAGTCTAATATATTTGGTTTTGATAAACAACAAAATACAGAACGTTATTTTGTGAGGACTAAATTTTCATTATTTTTGATTTGTATGATCATACATTTTCAACGGCTTGTGAAAACTATAGCCAACACTCTATCTATGAATTCAAATATGGCTGTAATAAAGATTTAATTGGAGCTTTGCAATACTAATTATAATACCGCTAAAGATAGGTATGGAGATGTATTACACAAAATTATTTTATTAAATTATATAAAAATAACTGCTGAAATGTCAAAAGTTGATGCTACTTTCTCGAAAAAGCGGCAACGTGGCATAGCTGATAGATGGTCCTGCATTAAGTAAACGATCAAATTTTCAAAACTTCTCTTTCACCATGAACATTTATTACAGAGGATCGTTCGGGATAAACGACCTAACCCTGTTGGGTGTCAAAAAAATAGCAGCCAGCAAAATCGACGTCAACCTGCTCGGCTTGGCTTTGAACATGACCATTTCCGTGCCGAAACTGATCTTGAACTCCAAATACAACGCCGACCTGGCGCTGGCTGACCTATTGCCGCTCTATGGCGATGGTAGAGCCAGGTAAATAAGTAAACTAACCAAAACTAATGAAATTTTATTATCCATGCTGCTGCGTTCACTTTCAGCGTCACGTTAGAGGGATTCGATATCATTGTGGGTGGCAAATTGAATATAACCGGCGGCCTGGGATTGTCCAACGTTTCGATCTTGACCACCCTCGACGACGCTAACGTGAGCACCAGTTAAAAATAAACACTTAAAACAAAGACAATTGCGCATGCGCGTCGATATATTCTGCTGCGCTTCTAATAAACCAGTCTGGGAAAATTTTGATACTTCGTTAGTTATTTTCGGTGGGAGGGTCTTTTTTTCCTCTATGCTATTGTGCCTAACGCTGCGAAACAAATGACGGTGGCCGATTTATTTTTAGTTTGACTTGCACGGCATGCTCAACAACGAAGAGTTCAGCCTCCTGGTGAGCGAGGCTTTAAACGACAACTTCGTCGATTTTCTGAACGAAAACGAACAAGTAATCGGGGGTTACTTAAGCGCGATTGCGCAGGCCGCTATCAACGGGATTTTGGGTAAATCTGCGGCCTCCGACACTCTGGACGAAATCTTGGAAGTTGTCAATCGAGGTCTTTATCCTCACGTTACGATTGCCAGGACCAAAGCTTTATAACTTTATTTTTAAAATGTTGCTAATTGTATTCTAAATAAAATTGTTTTAACCCCGCAAGTAATCGAAGAGAAGTTAATGCTGTAGAACCCTGAAGTACCTTTGCAAGTAATAAGGCTGAAAATATGACAAAAGCAGATAAAATTTTGCGAAAGGGTGTTTTCGATGACTCGGAATTTAAATCCGGTATTATTTTTTCAAATTTTCGGCAAATTATCGATAAAACCAGTTTTAAAATATTTTGACCCCTGCCTCTAAGAGAGGATAGTTTTAGAGGTATCTGCGGATAGACCTTGTTGACCTCCCTTCGATACATTTTTTTTCGAAGCAATGTAGGTAAAAAAATTGAAAATTTTTTGAGAAAATTCAGGGCCTTTGGAAATATTCGATCAACGTCGATATTTTTCGATCCGGTATCCGAAATTTCCGAAATTTGGTAACTGGTAAGGGGGTGCCTTTTTAGCCATTCCGGCAAAATATACCAAATTCGGATTTCTGATAATGCGTGTATGGAAAATTTTATCCACTCAAAATGGGATGATCAATTTTTGAACTGTTACATTTCGTTTATTTACAATGTTTAATTTATTATGTAAAATGAGCGTAAAAAAAAATTATTGTATGTTTTTTAAATATTTAAAACAAAATACACGAGCACCATAACTACAATATTTATTATTATTATTACGTTATTAATTGTCCCGTCTTGTCGATGCTAAAACAAAAAAAAATACAAATAAATTAAGTCTAGAAAAGTCAATCTTTTATATTTTTCAATTACATAAGTTCAAAATTAAAAAAAAAACTAATTAAAATAAACTCCAGAGAACATTACTAACTAATTATAGAAGACAGACGATGAAAATATAGTAACAATTAAATTATTTATAAATGAAAATGTTTTACGGATATACAATGACAACAATAAATTAGTAATTAATTAAAAATTTACAAACAAACCAAAACTATTTGTCTTACATAAATTTACATAAACTTAAAATTAAAAAAAAAATCAAAATACAAATAACAATAAAGTAAGACTACCTAATTTGGAACTTTGTGCAGCAGTTTTTTAGTGAATTAGAGTGTTTCTATTAGAGGAATTCAACAATAGTTTTACATTGGATGAACGGCTGCCCAAGTTGTTCAATATCAAATTACGATATAGGAGGTGTGTTCAAAGAGTAAGGTGACTTTTGTAATTGGGCGGGCTACGTACACTCGATCTATTTTATTTGTTGGTACACATGTCCCTCACATAATGTTCACAGTTCCTTTTTCCTTTTTTGTGAGACAAAAGGGTTAGACGTGTTTTGTGCGCTCGGAGATTTTCTGCTGTCAAAGAAAATGGTACACAAAATTTGCATAAAGATCTCTATTGGCTGGTGTTATGCAAAATTTGTTCGGAAACTGCCTAATTTTTAACAAAAGAATCGTCGAAGGAGCATCGCTCAATAGCTGTTAAACGACTTCAATGATGATCCTGATATGTTGAAAAAGGTCATAACTGGTGAGGAATCATGGGTACATGGTTATGACGTCAAAACCAAAGCCCAGTCGTCCCACGCGCAACCCACTATACATTCTTGCGTTATCCTTGATTGACTCGAAACCATTTTTCGTCGTAAAGGAAAATTTTTGTGATACGCGGTGGTCAATTTTTCTGAATCATTATTATAATGCTTCATACTTAAATACTTTGCTTCATCAATTACCGACACATACAGTGGCACAAATAATAATTGTTCTTTCATCATCCTGCCTTTTGTGTTGCATACCTTGCGTTGCCAATCTCGCTGCCTCGTAAATTTAGAATCTTCACCTGCTTCGGGTTCATTTTTCGAAGCGTTTATTTTTAAAATGCCCGACCTGATCCTGCTGTCGATGCTTGAAATACGTCCGCGTCAATCCGACGCGAGCGATGGCGTCCCGAACTTACCGCATAGAAAAAAACGGCTCCCTCGGACGGTACCAAAATATATTTATCACCCCATGAAAGTGGAAAACGCTGCTGCTGTTTTTCAGCTACATGGTAGCGGATCGCGATATCAAACAGGGCGAGCTCATCTTGAAAGAGGCTCCAGTTTTGGTCGGACCCCAACCAGGCGGCGCTCTGCAATGTTTCGCCTGTTGCAGGAGGCTGCAGAACGTACGTACGTGTCCCGGATGTGACGTAGCGTTACTGTGCAGACCCGACTGCAAAGGTAAGCGCAGTGTTACGCAATAATTTTTTTCGAATTCAGAATCCTATGGACTATGAACGAGTCTGTATATATAGGATGAGTCCTTGACTTGCGGTCAGTTTTTTAGGCGAATTCCACCCGGAATCGGAATGCTCATACCTGGCGAGTTCCGGTATAACCGGAAAAGACTTGGCGGACAACTGCCAAGTAGTTTTCCCTCTCAGGTGCTTGCTGCTGAAACGGTACGATCCCAGACAGTTCGACGCTGTCTCCAACCTTGAGCCACACCTGGAGAAAAGGAGAAACACACCGATTTGGAGGAGGAACAAGGTGGCGATCGAAGACGTGCTGAAGAAGCTGCGGATCTTGAACCAAGACGAGTTGGAGAGCGAGCTGGTCCAGACGGTGTGCGGGATTTTGGACGTCAACACATTCGAGGTAAAAAATGGCGGCTTAAATTAACGAAGGTGTTGCAAGCGGGTTACCTTTCGCGCAGATCCGGCCTGCCCAAAATGACATGGTGGCGTACCCCGAAAGGGATTGCTTGAGGGGATTGTACGTGGAGACGGCAATGATGGCTCACAGCTGCGTCCCCAACGTGTGCATGTCCGCAGACGATAGTTACCGACTGAGCTGCCACGCTAGGGTGGACATCAAAAGGGGGGACACGATAGCTGCCACCTACGCAAACTTGCTCAAGGTTTTGAATCCCATTTTGCACCATCTACCATACTTTCATTAAAGACAAGATTCATTTACTCCCGTTAACTCCTTTTACAGCGAAAATGAACTGCAGATGAAGTACCCTGCATGATTGCGACTAATCAAAACTTGGACATCCCTTTGCCAGTGTTGATTTTGCATCCATTTAGAGTCTCACATTTCAAAAACAACCATTTTTCAAAGTACGATTTGAACTGGATGAAGATGAAGGTCTATTTCCGCCTTCAGAAGATCTAAAGATTCTATTCTTTCTAGGGTACGGCCGAAAGGCAGAAGCACCTTTCAGATGGAAAGTATTTCGAGTGTTCCTGCGCGCGATGCGACGACCCCACAGAGCTGGGAACAGAACTGAGCTCCCTCAGATGCCACAAATGTCGCAAAGGGTTGATCAGACCCCATAGAAGCCGAGGTTGGGGTTGCGACGTCTGCCGAGCATCGTTTCTGGATGGTCTCATTACACTTGCGATTAGGGAGGGTGAGAGGCGAATCGAGGATCTAGGTGAGCTTTTGGTGGATGTCTTGAAGAGAAGGGCTTGTAGAGAACTTTTGGAGAGCGATCTTTTCGAGAAAGGGAGCTTTTCATCATCAGCTGCGTTTACAATTCGCCTCCATTCATGACGGCCTTCTGTCATTTGGGGTTGGTACGTGGTTGGCACGTTGTTATATTATCTTGCCATCTTAAACGAGGTCTGCCTAGAGATCTTCTCCCAGCTGGATTGTCACTCCAGACTAGCTTTGTAATTCTATTATCTGGACTACGTTCTAAGTGTCCAAGCCATCTTAGTCGTCTGGATTTAGTCTCCCGGACAATGTTAGCTTCCTGATATATGTCTCTCGGTTCATGGTAGTTTCCCATTTCAGTATCTTCTACAGGGCCAAACATTATTCTTAGGATTTTTCTTTCAAAACACCTCAGTTTTTTCTCGTTTTGCTTCGTCATTGTCCAGCTTTCGCAACCATACATTAGTATTAGATTTTAATTTTGGACTTTCGCGATACCACTTTAGATTTAAGGACTCCAGAAAGAGCAAAGAGTTATGCTATTATGCTGTTGTCCTCTGTTATCGTCACTCCTAAATGCTTAAAACTAGTCACTCTTTCGAAATTGTAGTCTCCCATTGTGACATTTTGTCCTACACGGTCTCTGTTTACCTGTCTGCATATATATTTTGTTTTTTCTTCATTTATTCTAAGGCCCATTTTGCTGGCGTTCTTTTCAATTTTTACAAACATTTCTTTCACTCCACAGACCGATCTTTCTATGATATCGATATCATCAGCGTATGCCAGAAGCAAGTGTTGTCCATTTGGTGAAAAAATTTCTGGGTTCACTTCTGCATCTCTAATGATTTTTTCTAGGGCGATATTGAACAGCAAAGGGGATAGTGCATCCCCCTGTCGTAGTTTATGTGGAAATAGTCTGACAACCTGAACCTATACGAGCTGTACTTTTTGAGCTGCTAAAGCACATCTTTATCAGTGCTATGAGTTTTGCTGGGATGGAGAGTTCTGACATGGCTTCCCACAGAGTGGTCCCCTTCATCCTGTCATATGCCTGTCTAAAGTCTATAAATAGATGATGAATTCCTTTGTTAAATTAAGGGAGCTTTTGGAGGGAGAAAAATGATGATCCCTCTTCTGTTGCAGACCCTGCCAATATTAATGCGATGGAGCAGCTCTACAAGAAACTCTCGCTAACCTTCCACCCAAACCACTACCTGATGCTAGGGCTCAGGCAAAATATGGCGGTAACGTATTCGAGGCTGCCGCCGACCAGACATAACCTCAATCGGAAATTAGACTTGTGCGCGCGCCTTCTGGCAGTGTTTTCCAAATTAGAGCCGGGAATTTCCAGAATTAAAGCTTTGACGATGTACGAATTGCAATCGGCGATGGTCGATCTCTCGAACAAACAATACAGGGGCGGGGAGATAAGTAGGGAGCGATTCGTTGCCGAGTTAAAAGCGGCAGACAATATTTTGAAAGAGGCGGTTAGGTATTTGCTCTATGAACCGCCGCAGAGTCCTGAAGGACGTATGGCTCTGTCGGCGATGACGGAGCTGAAGATGTTGAGGGAATCGATCTCCAGCGTGCTGGTAGAGCGACAAGAGGATTCGAAGAAAGGCGAGGTCGCCAGGAGACTGAAAGAGAAACTAGAACAAGGGGATGGCGCTAAGGAGAAGAAATAGCGTGTTGTAGGCGAGAAAAAGAAGTCAAGAAATAAGAATAAAATGAAAAAATGATCCGCGTGTTTTTTATTTTTAATTTGTGATAAACATTTGGCCGCTGGTTTTTGTCTTATTCGTCTAGTTTTATTGAAGCAACATTGTTAGTTTAGGCAGCTATTATTTAAAAGGGCTTCCAGTTAGTAAGCTAAATGAAAAGTGAAAATAAACTTTACTTAAGTATTAAAAAGTATAGTTTCTCTAAAAAAATGATAATTGTGAAACTGTGAAATAGATAGTCATTGAAAAAACAGTAAATAACAATTACCTTAGTAACAGAACTGAAGCACTATACTAGCACTTCCCGACAACCAAGCTATACAACTCCAAGCACGTGATTTATGGGTATGATCTGTTCATAGATATAAGAAAGTGACCAATTGCTTACAAAATAATTTTATACCTAAATGTGTTTAATATTCTTTGGTTTGGTATAGTTTGCTTAGTTCAAGTTTATTAGTAATCATTCTTATTTCGTGTGTAATACAGCGTGCGCTGAATCGTGTGCGAATTATGCAAAATATGTGCGAGTCTAGTGTATCTCAGGAGATGTAGAATGTAGAATGTAGAAAACAGGAAGACTAAGAGACTAAGGAAGTTATAAATAATGTTTATTTGACTCTCATGGAACATGGTGCCAGCAAGCAAGCGTCTTTAGAAGAAGCGGCCACATTGACGAAAATTCCTACATCAACTGTATGGAAAATTGTGAATAATCCCATTTCAAGCGAGAAAAAAAAGCAGCGATGCTGACATTTTCTCGAGTGTAGATGAAAGTGATCAAGATACCAGTTATACGAGGAACAAAGCGTGCTTACATTAGATATCTTAATTAGGAGGCTTGAAAAAGATGAAACCGGTGTTAGTTTCGGCAAGTTTTAATGGAATCTTTTAGAATTAGAAAAAATTAGTATTTACAGAGAACAACAAAGGCAATTATTTACTTGGATGGATTGACTCAACTGATAAGTGTAAAACAAACGCGCCACCAAAAAGAGGTAAAAGAATAACTATTTTGCATGCTGGCTCTAAAGATGGTTGGATTCCAAATGGACTTTCTCTGTCTGCGAAAAATAATAAACATTCTTCTCTGGATTACCATAAAGACACCACCGCTGATTTATTTGAAAGTTGGTTTAAAAACAACCTAGTTCCAAACATCCCTCTTAATAGCGTCATTGTAATGGACAACGCAAGTTATCACAGTAGACAGCTGACTAAAACCCCTTCCTCATGTGACACAAAAGCAACAATTCAAAACTACATGTATAATAACGACATTTATTTTCACGAAGATTATACTAGGGCATACAGTTTTAAGGCTTCCACCTTACAACTGTAATTTAATCCCATTGAACATGTTTGGCACCAGTTGAAATCTGCCATTCGTCGTAACAATGTTTTTCCCCGTGTTAACTCCAATGTCCTCAAACTTATAGAAACCGAAGTTTTTAACATCGCTCCACAAAGTTGGGCAAATTCTGTTAAACATATAGAAAAAGCAGATCAATCGTATATCCATATTGCAAATAATATAGAACAAATAATAATTAGAACAGGCGATGACAGCGATAGTGATACTGATATATTATGTGAATAATTTTAAGTAATTTAAGTAGGTAATAAAAGTAATTTCTAATTTTATTTTAGATTTAAACATAAATAAATAAATATTGTTTAGTATTTTTCCTAACAAAACCCCAAATAATTAAATTCTAAGCAAAGTACGGACCTGTTCGGCCGTATTTCATTCTTACAGCTTGCCCGGGTCTTTTCCTTAATTCGCATCAGTTAGTCACTTTCTTATATCTATGAACAGACTTTAGCTGGGTACAATGTTGAATTTGTCATAAATTCCATAGAGAGTGCTTCTAATTTTGCTAATTTAAAGGCACATTGTAAAATGGTCCTTTATGTTATCGGTTGCTGCAGTGGATTCAATAAAAATTATATGTTTTACATTTAATAATTCTTCGCCTTCTACAAAACATCAGTTTTCCACATTACAATTTAAATACGCAATTTTATACAACCACGCACCACAAAAAGTGTTAACAAAGTCACGAATTATTATTTAGCCATGAACTGGCTAAAGGTTTAACGGTAACAGGCATAGTTTCACTTTTCTCGCAAAACTGCCATCATTAAAAAACCGCCCGCTAGATGGCACCTTCGCCCATTTTTGAACAAAAATTGAAATTTATCCGGAAAACTTTGAGGATCGGTGGGAAAAACGAAATAAGTGACGCATATCTAAAAAGAGCTATTCACTATATCACTCAATATAAAAATATCATTGTTTAATATTTAAATGACAAATAATGGTACTTCCTCGATGCAGTTCCAGGTACAAAAGTTTTTAATCAAAGGAAATAAAGTTGTAAAAAAAAATAAAACTAAAAATTTTTTAAAATTTCTTCAGTTAACAGTACAATATTTATACTTAACTAAACAAAAAAACAATTTAAAATTTATTTTTCTTCAGAATACACAGCTTACTTACCGAAATACTGACCAAAACGGATTTCTAAATATTCTCCGCCAAATTAAAGAGTTTTGCATAAGTCTAGCACTTTCAAAAAAAGCACCCACTTCAAGCTGCGACTCAGACCAGCTAGCTAACAATATCAACTCCACTTTTACAATTTTACTTGTAGCGTCATCTGCCGGCATGGCGGACGTTAATATGTTAGCCAATTAGATACATAAAAGAAAAGGCGGCAATCGTTTGACCGTTTTCCAATGTTGCTTAATTGTGTAAAAATAAGCAAGTTTTTGGTTAGTTTCTCTTATTGTGTTGTATTGTTAATTAATATTAATATTGTTAATATTAATTAAAAATACGTACATGAGACAGAAATGAGTACAGTTTCGAAGCAATGGACTGCAGGATTGTATTTAACTACGGCTACTTTTGTTTATTGTCAGCAGCGCCACCGTCCGAGAAAAAATTCGTTCTAATCCGAGTCGCAGTCGTCACGTCAGATGGCGCCAGATGTACGCTCTATGGCGTTACTGTTATTCCGGTCCACATTTCTTTGGGATAATTTCAAAAACGACGAAAAACGCATCTCAGCGATAACGTTCCACACTTCTTCAGGCGAATCGCATTCATTCATGGAATAATTTAAATTGTCACAAAATGTCGGAGCTTGAAACGCGCGCGCCAACGCACTCTGCGATGGTCAATCGTTGCCGATCGTCGACGATCACGCCCGAAAGCGGCCGCGGTCACAAAATTCAAATATTTTCGCGATTCGCAGCGCGAATTACGTCGCGAAAAGTCCACGGCGATTTCCTGCAACTCGGAAAGTGCGCGACTCCCGACGTTTCGTTTTCTTCGCCGTTTTTCGCGATAATAATTTCGGTGGCCACGGCCGGTTTCGTGTTTGGGTCAAACGTGGGCGATAATAGGTGAGTTTTAAGACGAGTATTTTTAGCTGATAGATGATCTAATATTTGGATAACCTTTTAAACTATTTTTTTTAACGCGTCGGCCGCGGCAATAAACAACACACGGGATGAGTTACCTGGGTGCGCGGATTAAGTGACGTTTTCGAAGGTTTTCTACGTTCTTCACTTTATTCTTGAATAACATAAATAAAAGTACGATTTCTTTTGGGATAGGCGAAACGGTAAGAACGAACGTACAGCAGCGGTCATATTGAAGAAAAGAGAGTATTTTTAGTGTATTTTTAGGAGCTTGAACGAAAACAAATTTTTCAAAGGGAGACAAAAAATTTTAAGCTAGATTTTGTATTTAACACATCAACAACAATAATCTATTCACGAATTATCAAAAATGATTTTTTTTTTGCTCATTTTTATTATGTATTTTGATTTCATGATTTTGATTAAAATTACTAATAGTTCCTTTTGAGGTTCTTACTAACAAAAGCAGACATTGTTTGATACACAAGGGGAGTTTGACTATTACTATTTATAAATTTATAAACAAAAATCGAGTTAAAATTGTCAAAAAAAAAGTAATTATTTTTTTTACTTTCGTAACTTATTTGACATTTTTGATGACGCTGACATACAGTTATTTACATTTTTGACTGCAAGCTTTTCTTTAAATTAATAATTTAATAATACATACTGTTTGATGCGAAAATACTTTGCGACTTCAGAAACATTTCGTTATAAAGGGGAATTATAGCTTTGAACAAGAATCCACAAACTAACCAAAAAAAACTTTTTTAAGTTTTTCGGATTTGCCTGACACTATAATTCATTGAAATTATTAATTGAACTAAAATTTATTACTTTCTTATATAGTTATTAATAGTTTTATCATTGTCATTAAAATGTCAAAAAAAATCATATTGTTTGATGATCTATTAAAAAATGATTGCTATAAAATAGAAGTTTTATACAACTGGAATACGTTTCCTTTGTCGTTATAGTTAATTTATGTCCTGAGATGTTGTAATTTACTGTGCGATTAAATTTTTAAATAATGTTTATTTTTGAATATAAATAGTATACGGTCCTGTACATATATTCCAAACAAAATACCAAAAATATTATTGTCTACAAACTTTTTTCTTCGCAAATTCTTTACACCCAACACAAGTAGTGTCTTTTTTTTTATAATAAGCAATATAATAATACATAATAAAATTCTCTCATGAGGAATTTTAAAGCTGTTATCAAATATATTATTAGCTCTTATTTATTTATTAGTATTGATATGCTAGGATCGTTCAATACCCAGTTAAAAAATTATGAAAGGTTTTATATATAAATAGCATTGTTTATTATTATAAAATAACCTTGATTGTACTCGTAAATTTCAGGTAATCGATTATTTTGTAATCCTAGCATACTCATTTACTTTTAATATTAATGCCATTTAAAGGACATATTTGTCTGGTTGATTGTAGCATTTAAAAAGTCGTGGCAGTGTGCAAACATCTAAAGAGAAAAACAGACCAAGCAAACTACCTAATCAAATGACTGTATGCACAAAATTACTTACGTCATATACCTACATTATAACTCCTGTACCAATTATTACCGTTATAGGATACCAACCATTAGAATTAGAAAATATTAGTTATATTACAATAATAAAACCTAAATATTCATTTTTTTAAACGTTTTTTTCAATAATATAACATTCTTTGTGATTTCTATTCAGTTGTAAAGATTAAAATGTCATTGATGATCATTAACTTCGGTAGGTATAACAATTAAGGCTATACAATACGTACGAAACAATAGACTAGAATTATAGTTTTTTAAACAATAATCCATTCACAAATTATTAAAAAATAAAATAACATCTAGATTTTTGATCATTTTTATTATATGTTTTGATTTGATGATTTCAATTAAAATTATTAATAATTGCTTTTGAGGTTCTCACTAACGAAAGTAGACATTCTTTAATGCATAAGGGCTTATAGTACTATTTTAAAAATATATATTTTTTATAATTTATTTATAGCTGAACAAAAATCCAGTTACAAATTATCAAAAAAAAAAATTGAAATCATTTTTTAATTTGCCTATTTGTTTGACATTTTTAATGACACTGACTTCAAGTTTAGATACATATTTACATTTTTCACTGCAAGCTTTACGTTAAATTTATTAATGGTTGCTTGCTGAAAGAGTACACACACTGTTGGATGCAAAAAGGGTTATATTACAACTTCAAAAACATATTTTATAAAATAGAATTATAGTTTTCATCCATTGACAAACTCACCAAAAGAAATATTTTTTTTATACCTTTTGTATTTATCTGGCATTCGAATTCATTGGAATTAATTTTTTTTTAAATGAGGAGGTCATATCACAGTCTCAAGTAATTATAATTGACTTATAAAAAAATACATATTGTTTGAGGCTACTTCAAAAAATTATTGTAATAAAATAGAATCAACAGTTTAGAAAAATAATATTAATAAATAATAATGCACACCATTTTATTGGTAGGTTAACTTACTTATGTTTATTAGTTTGAACCAAAATGATGCGTTGCAATTTACAGCACATATAGTACTAGTACTTTCGGGAAATACATTGATTTCAAAAGATTATTATTATTATTATTATTATTATTATTATTATTATTATCACATTTAATTAGCAACTTATGGACACCACTCGTAAGCTTTTTAATTATAAAGTTTTATACAGCTGATTTTTTAGTTGATTTATGTCGTGAGAGGTTGTCCTGTACATATTATTTATACAGTAAACCCAACATAACATAGTAAGTAATGTAATAGTACATAACATAATTCTCTCATGGGGTATTTTAAAGCTACTACTTAATATATTATTAGCCCTTATTTATTTATTATTGTTGAATATCTAGGTAAAAAATTATTAATGATTTTGTATATAAATAGCATGGTTTATTATTATAAAATAACCTTGATTGTATTATTAAATTTCAGTCAATCTAATGTATATGTAATCCTAGCAAACTCATTTAACTTTTAATATTAGTGGACATATTTGTCTGTTTGATTGTAGCATTTAAAGTGTCGTGTCAGTGTGCAAACATCTAAAGAAGAAACAGAGCAAACAAAATAGCTAGGCAAATGACTGTATGTACAAAATTACTTTATGCCTACATCACATAGTTACATCATAACTTGTGATACCTCTGTGCTATTATACCAATATACTATTAAATAGTTTTTTTTTTAATAATGTAGCATGGTTTGGGTTTTCTATTCATTTTTTCTTTCAATTTTTGATTGTGTCAAAACCTAGTACTATACTTTATTATTTATTCCTTACAACTTAACTTCATTGGTCGGTATAGCAATTAAGGCTATACAATACGTATGAAATACTATTGACAATCTGTTGCCGTTGAAAAGGAACAAAATACAGTTTTCAATGGGAGAAAACCGAGCAATTATCAATTGAAGTGGATTTCTTAATACTAAATTATTTGTGCTGGTGAACTGATATATAAAATACAAAATATTTTATTACTGGACTAATTTTTCTAATCTGGTAAAATTTATACCTTCTAAATGCTGGAATAGCTAGCAATTACAATACCATTCCGCCGATGACGTAACCCGGTGACGTAGCAGCCCATTAGAATTTTTAATACGAAAAATTCGTGGCCTTGACTCCCACAAACGGGAAAGCATATTTACGCGATTTTGCTGTCTTTTAGCGAAAGAGAAACACCACCTACGTTTGCTTAAGTCTTTCATTGCCGAATCGCCGTCAATGGTCGGTACGAGGGTTCCTCGAAAAGTTAAAAAGTATCATTCTTCAAGTGTGAGAAAATATTCAACTTATCAACATTCGTTTACTTTTAATGGCAAATAAAAATATGCTTTCCAGCTTTTAATAGCGATTGAAATTAACATTTAATCGTTTTCGTTAAATTATTTATTTTTTTATTTAATTCATTTAGCACCAGTACAATTTTACAAAAGTTCTCGACGCAGCTTTATGGTTGTAACAATACCGTCCAAAATGGCGTCAAAAAGTTAAAAATAAAATAACAAGCGTCGTGAGGAGACTACCAAAGATATTGTTCACATTTTTCATCTCGCCCTGACCCAAAACTACGCACTTCTTTATTTTTACTTCCGTTCGTCAACAAACAAAACACACCTTCGCCTTCGAATCGCTGATTTAGACCCTATTGACTTTATTATGGACCAATCGCGATTCCTGTGTGCGTCGTGATTACGCCGATAGTTGCACACAATACGCCAATCAAAATGATTGCGCGTAGTTTGCCATCTGGCCGGATTGTCCTCGATAAATATTTCCTCGTTAGAAAACTTATATGTCCGACATTATTCAATGAAAGCCGCGCGTTCTATTAATTGCTTCAAGGGTGTATGCGCGCGCAAGCGGATTGATAGAGTGGAACCGAGAAATATATATATATATATATATATATATATATATATATATATATATATATATATATATATATATATATATATATATATATTCTCACGTATTGATTCACGGATGGAAAAATGTGATGACACTATATTCCGGGATATCATCCTTTCGCTCGTTGAACTCCGACTGGAATCCTGCATCCGACTGGAATCCTGCAAATCCTGCATCCGACTGGAATCCTGCAGACGTTTCGCCAAAATCTCACTTGGCATCTTCAATGCTCGCGCTCCGAAGCTCAGTGTTCAAAGTGTTTTCGGAGCGCGAGCATTGAAGATGCCAAGTGAGATTTTGGATGCCAGTCGGATGCAGGATTCCAGTCGGAGTTCAACGAGCGAACGGATGATATCCCGGAATATAGTGTCATCATCTACATATATATATATATATATATATATATATATATATATATATATATATATATATATATATATATATATATATATATATATATATATATATATATATATATATATATATATATATATATATATATATATATATATATA